GCTATTTTTATTGTACCATTATTAATTAAGATATTATTTGGATGCTAAAAAGAATAGTGTTCACGATATTAATATAATAAATTATGAGATAACACGAACACGAACATATTACACTTACAAGATCACCGTGTATTATTCCCACATCATCATGTAACCATGAAATTGCACTTGCGATATCCTTAGCAAATTTTAATTGACTTTCCCATTCAAAACTTATAGTATCATCTCTTAAATATTTTCCCAATGTCCCCCCTTCTGCGTATTCAAGGACAAGCGAGTAATTTTTTTCATCTAAAGAATAATAGAGCATGTCAAAAAGCAATTATTGTAGATTTATTGTATAATTGTCATTATTTACCTTGTAATTTCGTAAGTCCGCAGAATTGAATTATATTCGGATGATAATTAATAATTCCCGTTAGGAAAATCTAGAAATAAAAATCGTAAATATTTGTACAATAAGCTTTATCATATTGTATCAGTAAGTACCTCATTAATTATGTCCTCTTTACTAGAACTCTCGAAGAATTTTTTAATTGCGAACTTTGACGTACTTTTCCAACGTACATTATAAACCAAGGCTGATTGGCCAGAAGCTATCTTACCAAGAATCTTAAAACTTTGAGGATCATAATATTTAATTATTTGTGATACCTCGCCATCCAATAATATCCTTATTTTGTCGGTATGACACTCTTCGAGACGCAGCTGTCACAGTATAAGGAATTCAAATTACTATTACTATATTAATTAGTTGACACAGCATTATTGCATATGAGCATATCTGATAATTATATTTGTGGTGAATTTCTAGATGGTTAGACTTATGCAAAGTTTTCTGCTGTGTCTTAAAAAAAAACCATTTAAATATCGGGTTTTCGCTTTTTTTTCCTTCGTTTTTTTTGTGGCGCAGTTACAAGTCAACCAACTATATAGTTATTTTTAACTACTAGAGATCAAAATATGTGTTAATATTGACAAGAAAACAAAAGAAACGGAAAGTACAATATTGAAATAATAGTAAACCGTCTTTCTCACTTTTTATATTATTGCAGATGCTCCTCGTTATTTATTTATTTACATTTGTTTCTTTGTTTCTACCGTGATATTAAGAAACAAATACTCTAACGGTATTAAGTTTTATATGCGACCAAGACAGCAACTAAAGGGTTGTTTTTTGGTAGACTATAGAGAATAGATGACAAGAAAAAATCGTTTTTGTGGTGCCGTTCCCTTAGTAAGCGAATTTTCAACTATCTAATTCCAAACGGAGGTAAATAAAATATAATGATATTAGGTCTAATATGTGAACAAAAAGTGGCCAAGGGCTTTTTTTAGTAACTCTAGAGAATAGATGTTAGGTGCGACAATTATAACGTGCCCGTTAAATAGAGATGATTGGTCTTCTCTACTCGCACAGAATATAGATTACTTGAGTAAATTTGTGCGACAAAAAAAATCAATTTGAGTATGGTAGTACACATAATTGACACCTGATATTGAAAATCCTGCAAAAGTACGCAAATAAAATTTCAGACATTATTAATTATTTTATCATGACTTCTATATTATTTATAAAATCAAATACTAATTGTGAAAAAATAGAATTTATTCTAATTTACCATTTTTTCAATAATATTTTTCTATAATTTCACTTTTTACCTTTAGAAATTACTTTCAATTAAAACTAAATATTACAATGCGGTAAACGTACAGTAAATATATAAGATTAGCCAAATTTAGGCCAAAAATACGTAAACTAATTTTTACATATAAAAATTTTGATAAAAAATACGCCTATAAACTATGGATGAGAAATTCTTAGATTGTATGAACTCTCTTACAAATAAAAAATAAAAATAGGACATCTTGTACCGTTGTCTGTCCCGTTTTTCCCGATAACAATCTTACACTTTTTATTAAAGCACAGTGGTACCGGAAATTAGTATTGTATTATTATACTCCATTTTTTATTTTTTTTGTTTTCGAGGCTAAAATTAATAATTTTATCATAACGATTAAAATATTATATAGACAATATTAGTATTTTCATAATTGTTGACTAATGTGTAATTGGTTTTTTTTTCGTATAGTAAAACAATTGTAATTATAAATTTAATAATTATATGTAATATAAACAAATGTAAAATAAGCAAAAATTGAATAAATTCTATTGTAAACATTGAACAAATCTTGAAACTCTATCAATTTGGCTGATTTTTTAATACATTTTCACTCAGACAATTTGACAATATAATTGTAATCAGGGTTTTATGCTCGGTCGGCAAGTAGTTCTAATAATTCTTGATGGTTGCGCTAAAGTGAAGTTCAACATACATTGCTGGTGCACATCTTTGAATAACTCCAAGTATTTTTCACGAACTGCTCCGTCTACACGTCAAAAGCTCAACAATTCCGCCGAGTTAACTACGTGATTATGCGTGAATTTTAAATTTATCTCTAGTGGGTGACTCAATTCGATGCCCCAACTCTCTAAACGAAGATGAATCATTGCAGTGCATCCAACATTTCATGCTCGCGATGATTGTGGACGCTTCGTTTCCTGTTTCTTCTTAACCATATCGCTGTTTCTCTCGAAAAAGTACACACTTTTCTTTTATTTCGTAGCGTTTAGTTTCTGGCATCGTAGTTTTGATCTTGATTCGAAATCTTTAAACCATTCGCTTGCCTAATCAAATTGTGGAATTTCAAAACCTCAACAGTTCAAAATGATGGTAATTCATTAAATCTTTTTATTAAATATGTATAATTTTGAGGAAGTATTTGTTTTAAAAATTCGGGTAAGGTATCCCAAGAAATGATCTATAAATGAATTTTTTTATTAATGTCATTCTTTAATAATAATTCAATATCATCTAACAAATTAAAAGCTTCACGATAAATTTAACAATTAAAAATTTAATAATTAAAGTTTTACAACAGATAATTAATAAAAATTAAACAAATTAATATTCTACGATGATATTTAATGATAAAAGATGATAAAAGCGTATCATGATTTAAAAAAAAGATAACATTAACAAAAATAAATACACGATAAATTAATAATAAAATAACAGATAAACACAAAAATCGAAAATATGCTACAGTACATAATATAATAAATACAAATAAATTATATCACTTTTACCAAAAAATCGCGTTTTTTTTTTATTTGTTTCTATAGTATAAATACTCTAAAAATCTAGATAATTAACTAACCGGTGTTTTTTCGGTAATATCGCCTTCCATAATGATTATTTCTAAAAAATTTAAATAACGAATAAAATACTTCGATTTTAATATAAAAGCATATATATTAATTACATTAATTATATAAACGAATGGAGTACAGTATAATGTCTAGGGGTTAAATAAACGGGGGACAATTCTAGTTACACAAACTGATCAATAATAACCAGAACTGTCACCATAAATTGGTTACATGATAGAAATCTACTATAAAATTGCGCAAATTTTTACTTTCGACGCGAACGCATAGAAAAGCAGCCGATCTCAAAAGTCAAGGTTATATATGCTAGCTCTATATAGGCGAAGTTTTTTTTATTAAATTAGACCACTGGTTGCTTTGTTCTTAATTTTGTATGTTTTTTGCTCTTTTATGATAGAAAGTTAAGATTACATCCTTTTTTTTCGAGATTTCAATAAGTATATACTAAATACTTTTATGTAAAACGTTTTAAAATAGCCTTTTCTTCTTTTATTAGTATTATTTTCAAGTGTGTAATAAAATTTTATATGTTTTTGAGGTATTTCAAACAGCCGATCCAAAATTTTAAAAAATATAGACAGAATATTTCGAAAAAAAAAAAATATTTTCGTGTAGTTCATCACTGATTTATCATTTTTTTTTCATTATATTGATTATCGGCAGATCTTTCACTGGTACCGTTGCATTTTACTATTAACTCATTGAGGATCTATAATCCCGCACCCGTGGTGTAACCGAGGTGATGTTTATTGTCACATGTCACGTGACAGGTGGCTGTGGCGTTGCGCCTGCGCCATTAACCTGGCACACAAATCCAACGATTGGTTTGATTTCATGTGTTGATCAACATTAATCAATTAAATTAAACACAGTGTCGTATAAACTTTTATTTAACTTTATTTAATTAGATAATTATATTAGTTATATCTTGAAATACAGGATGCGTTTGTATTTTCGATTAAAATATATTTATTTCATTACTTTTATAAAATTAGCAAATGTACCTAATATTGCTTTTGTAAGTCCATCAATTGTATTATTGTTTCGAAACTCATCAGTATCATCTGATAATTCATCCTCTTCATTTTTTTGCATTGATTCTTCAAATTCTTCATCAAGATTTATATTCATTTCCAAACATTCATTGTACGATTTAGAAAGTTCTTCAATTCCAGAATAAAAATATTCGAGACAATACTGGTTGTGATATGCGTCTACACAGGCTAAAACATTTCCATTTACAAGTAAAGAAACCCTTTTCTCCCTTTATAAAAATGTCATTACACACGATTGATTATTATGATGAAATGATTGTTTGGCCCTATCTTTTATGCATATGATCATTGATATGTACAAGAATCGGTACATGTGAACCTTTAATTAACACATGATAAATTGTGATGCCCGAGTCTAACTCAAATATTTTACACTTCATACAGTATTTTATAAACCAATAGTTTCATTCTCTCTTTGATACGAAGAAAATTAAATCCAGTATGATAGTTTCCAATGAATTATGTATTAATTATCAATAACTCAGTTTAATATAGTTAAATCTTTTTTTTTTAAAACTAAAATTTCAAAAATTTTTTATATACTTAACAATATATTAAGATTTTTTTTTTAGAATGCAAACAGAAAATAATAACTTTTTTAAATAAAAATCAAATCAATTAATAAATATTTTGAATCAATAATTTTAATAATCTTACAAATACCGCAGTCCCGAACTTTCATTATTCTACAAAATATTCAAAATCAACTTTTTCTAATTGCAAATGGAAATTGTGGTGTGAAGTTGTTTTGAATGAAAAGCTGACAATTTACCATAATTCCTGATGAAATTATCTAAAAAAAAATGATAAGAATTAATTATTTTATATATTAAATATATTAGATACACGCATATAATTTTTATTCGTCTACCTACTCTATAATCAGTTTTACTAAAAATCCAACTTTCAATCATAGCATTGATTACATTATCAGGATTATGAAGATTATCGAGATTTGAATTGGCGGGTAATTCGGAAACAACAAAATGTTCAATTTTTGTACTGCTTTATTTCTTAATTCTGATGAACCCGTTACAAAATAATAAATAACTTTTGATTAAGTGCAGCATAAGTTTGCGTAAGTTGATCTGCGCAATTAAAAAATGATTATAATCTTGTAATGAAGTGAAACTATTCTGAGCATTAATTTGTATTCCAACCGTAAATATACTTGGAAGAGCAATAATGATGTATACTGAGTTATAAATGATAGAGCAGAAGGTGCAGGTCGGAATAAATAATCAACAACACAACCAAATATTGTATGTGGCCTTAAACCTATATCTTTTAATGATTGTGAATAATATTTTGAATCAAAAGATCTTATATTCATTCCACGATTTGAATAAAACTTTATAAAAGTACTTGGATATTTTGTTGTCCAATTAGAAAGCATGAATTGTTGATCTAAATTTTTTGCATCGAAATCAATAACATTGATCTCACTTGTCTCAAGTTCACTAATATTAGATGATGGATTTAATGAAATCATGACTTTGGTGAGCTAAAAATAGTTTCAAGTGGAAAGGAGTTTGCCAATCTGCAAGGAACGCTCGGTTTGTAAGTAAAGCGAATACAAATGCAGATGTCATTTCAAGAATTCTAATAATTTAAAATTTAAGACGTCAATTACCAATTTAGGTGTACTCATTTTTTAAAAAAGAACCTTTACTTACCTGTCAGATAATCCTCCACAATTATTTTGTCATCACAAATATAACTAACATATCTTTGCGCTTCATTTCCTGATAAGATTTTCTAATGTAACATCGAGTAATTACCTTGCCATGTACCGCAAGAAGAATCCGAACTTTCATTTGTATTCATTTCTAATAATTGAGTCTTATTAATATCATCACGTTCTTCATCTGTTAGTGATCCAACAACATCATCATAAGTGAAATGAGTCTTACAGTATGTCTCATATAAGTATAATTAGAATAATCATTTTTAGGATAATCTTGATCTTGATTCTCTGATTCACCATATCTGGCCGGAATCGTCTTTTGATAACTATTCTTCTTATTTTTAAGTTTATTTGGTAAACCATCTACAATGTTAAAAGTAATGTTTTTATCATCTTGATCAAGTTTATTTTCATCATTATTATTTGAAACATCATCATTATTTAAAGGAATAGGATCTAAACCTTCATCTTCTATATCATCTATAATATCTTCTTTCTTTTCAGATTTCATATCATCAGATATCTCATTTGGGGATTCAGGTTTAATAACATCTTCAGGTGGTAATTCTAAATCCTGATCAACTTCTTTTTCTTCTTTAATTATTAATTCAGGATTTACATTTTCAATATCAATTGCCGTATTTTCGATAAAATCAACATTTTCATTTTTTAATTCCATCATTATTATTAACTACGTCATCATTATCACATGATGAATTTCGTCCGAAATTTGTAAAAATTCATCATCTTTTTCATCAATAATTTCTATATTATTATTATTATCATTTAAATCATTTATAATATTATTAGTATCAATTTACAGTATTTGTAATATTAACTTTTACAATAGAAATATCAATTTCATCATCAAATGGAGGACCTAATCCACTTAAAGCACCAAGAAATACACGAGAGAACCACAAAATATGAGAATAAAGAACATATTTCTTATATCAAAATTACCATCATTCTTATCGATCTTTTTAGATTTTGATGGAGTTGGGGGAGGAATTAAAGGTGGAGTATCATCTAATACATTATTTAAATGAGATTTTTTTCGGAAAAATATCAATTGGTTTTAAGATATGTAGGATTAGTTACGGGATTTTCAAGAAGTGTATTATTTATGCTCGTATTATGTCGATAAGCTTTTTGCCCTGTAGTTGATTGATTTTGCAGGGACATATTAATATATTAATATTATTACTGTATATTTGAAAAAAATAAAGATTAAAATCACTTTATAAGAGAAAAAAAGAAAGAAGTAAGGAATGGAGAAAAAAAAATAAATTAAATAAGAGCAAAGGAATTCAATCTGTTCAATTTATAAGACGTGAAATTGATAAAAATTATAAATATAGAATTTGCATATAAAAAAGATTTGAATTTAAAAAAGGAAAAAAAAAAAATGAAAATGAAAATAATTAATTAATTTCAAACTTTTTATTTTGTTTGAACTCAAGGCCGAAGTGTTTTTTATAGTTGCACATTTGCATGCATTTTTCAATCGGACAATCCCAATATCTAAACTAAAAACAAAAGTAACAAAAAAATAAAACGAACTAAAATAAAAAAAAACTATTAACCTATAAAATTTATGTTGGAAATCTTTTATAACGTGTATCACGTGACTTTTAACTATGGTTAATCAGATAAAATTATTTTTCCTTCACTCCCCGCCCTTTTGTATATTCCTTACCCATTGGGCTCTTTTCTCATTTATATTTTTATCATCCGCGAAGATATTTAATTTCTTTTTTTGTTTCATTCTTACATGTTGTTCATCACTAACTTTATATCATTTACTTGGTTTTCCTTCATTTTTCATGATTCCCATCATTATTTCTATCATTATATTTTTTCCATAATTAATTTCATCTCTCTCTCTCTCTTTTTCATTCTCCATTATTTCTTTTTTCATCCAATCGTCCGTCCCTCATCAATGTTTCTCATCACTTTTCACTCTTGATTTGGTATATTATTGATTTTAGCTTGTTTGTGTTTAATTACCCTTTAATAGTATATCTCCTGATTTTGGTTAATTATTATTGAAATTTTTTTTTTGCCATTTAATTACCTTTGTAGTTTTTTAATGATCGCGATCGGCAAAAAATAAGCCAGATGTCCGTATTTTTGGTTGTACGAATTGTAGCCTAAGGACCAAATTTGTTTAGTACTGTTGATCTTTTGGATAAAAATTCCAAAAAAGTTCATTAATGAAATTTTTTGGTTCTCCATATCTTACTTTATTGTGATAAAAGAAAAAAAATTCACTTTTACCCAAAAACCTATCATTATGTCACGCTTGGAATCTACAAATGAAAATAATGAAAATTCTTTTGACCCAACTCCAAAATTAAAATCTAGCCCTATACCGATTTTGTTTATTTCTTTTAATCGGCTCCAAAATGAATGTAGTTATTGCGGAAATGAATATTCCGTAACGGTTTTATTTAATCAAAAATATTGTAAAATATGCTTAATAAAGTATATTGAAAATATAAGTGATAATAGTGATATGTACTTAGATATACGTATGAGTACAAATGATATACGTCATAATAAGAATGAGACAAGCAGAAATGTGAATTTTTGTACACAAAATATTCAAGAAAAGTTTGATAGTCGCTGTGATATCTTATATTTTAAACAAATATTTTCATACTATTTTCGTTATGAAAAGCAAAAAAGTACAAGAAAGTGAGAATTGCAAATTATGTGGAAAATTATTCCCCGAACAGAGCTGTTCGTTCAAAATATGCCCAGATTGTTATCAAATTTCTCATGGACGGTTAAAATCAACTTTGACTAAGGAATTTATTCCAATTCTATGTTTACCATGGTGGGATAATTGTAATATTTGTATAAACTGCAAGTTATCCCTAGAGTTTATATCCGATTGTCAAAAATGGTGTTCAGATTGTTTTGCAACTTATACTGGATGTAGATATTGTTTAACAACGAATATTATTTTTGGAAACACTGCTCAATCTCAATGTAAAAAATGCAATAGACTACTATCATTTATTACTATCACATATATCGACAGTGAGAATTTTGATATAGAAAAATTCCTTGCCTCTACAAGAGTAATATTGAATCGGAGAATATTTGATTCTTTCGTTAAAGATTTAAATTCTCTTGAGATATATGATGCTTTTTTCAGGTTTAAAAATGATTATTATCGTTATAAATCATCAGTAAAATGGATTAGATGGATTCCATATTCTCGAATTACAAATTTGGAAAAAATAGCAGAAGGAGGGTTTAGCATTATTTATAAAGCACAGTGGCGTCACTTTAATCAAGTAGAGTATTATAAAAAAACAGTTATTATAAAAAGATTTCTTAACTCGTGGGATATGGACAAATATTTTTTAAATGAGGTAAATAGTATATATTGTATGAATAACATATTTTTTTAATTGCATTTTATAATGATAATTTTAACTTTTTAGTTAAAGTCACTTTATAATTACAAATATGACGCAAATCACATTATTGGTTGTTACGGAATTACACAAAATCCTGAAACAAAGGAATGTATGCTAATAATGGAATATGCAAATGGAGGAAATTTACATAATTATTTACAAGAAAATTTTAGAAATATTACATGGGAAATGAAATTAAATATTTTATCATATATTGCTAGAGGGTCAGTGTTAAATTTTAATGGATAAATTTATTGTTAATATTATATAATATATATAAATTCACTAATTAATCACTCTTAATTATAGACTTACTATTATTCATAGAAGAAACTTTATACATCGAGATTTCCATAGTGGAAATATATTATTAGAAAAAACGGGGCAAATAGACCAAAGATGGATAATTGGTGATTTAGGGTTATCACAATCTGCAAATAGTACTTTATTAAATAATGAAATATATGGAGTAATGCCATATATTGCACCAGAAATATTTAAAGGTGCTACTTTTTCAAAAGAATCCGATATATATAGTATGGGTATGATCATGTGGGAATTAACAACAGGTTGTAAACCTTTTGCCAGTATTAGGCATGATGCTAACCTTGTTTACGAAATTATTGATGGAGAAAGACCCGAAATTACACATGATACTCCTGAATGTTTTGCTAATTTAATGAAAAGTTGTTGGGATTCTAATCCTGCGGAAAGACCTTCCGCATTAGAAGTTGCTAAAGCTTTGCATTCTATAGAAGTATCAAATTTTTTACAAGTTGATCGGGCTGAAGAAAAACGATTAGAGTTAATTAAATTGAAGAAACTTGGCCCCGAATATACAGGAAAATCTCATTCTGGCGCTATTTACACTTCTAGATCATTAGGATCTAGGAGTACTAATTCTATATTTAATAATCTATATTTCTCTACAAACTTAGTGACTACGAAACAAGGTATGTAAAATATTTTAGTTAAGTTTTAAAGAAATTATTGATGAATTTTATTAATTTAATATTATCATTATTATTTAGAATATATTACAAAAGAATATGATTTTGATATAGATATGCAAAGCAAGCAAAGGTAATCACATAATTTATAATTTTGCAAAAAAGGCAAAAATAGGTTTAATTATTTTTAAAACATTTTAGGTCATCTTTACTAAGTACTAATTCTACTACTCGAGATTTTTCGAGAAAACGTCATTTTGAAGAATTAGGAATTGAAACTCAAAACGATAGTAAGTAAAATAATCATAATCTTTACATATTATTAACTATAATAATAATTAATATATTTATTTGTTTTTTTCTATATAATAAATAGGGAAACGTATTAAAACTTAAATACAAATTTTATAGACTACTTTTTTGATATACTGTACATGTTGTATTTTATAGCAGAATTTCATATATTATTTTATCTTTATTTTTATTATTTTATATAACTTTTTTTTTTTTCATTAAATATCGTAAATTATTTTTCTTATAATTTAAATATTAAATATGCAAAGTTTGAAAATGTGATTAAAAAAGAATTTGAAATTTACGCATATTTTTTTAAAAAACTATCTGAATAACGGTCTATTGGACCTAAGAAAAACTTGTTTTATTCTTTTTTTGGTGATATGAATAATATCTTTTTTATTGATTAAAATGTATCCTTAAAGTATAGATTATAGAAAAAATTTCAATTATCAGGATTGTATCTTCATAGTAAACAAACAAATAAGAGCATTTTTTTAATAAAAAAGCCTCTCTCCGCTATCTCATATAGCTAGTCATACTTTGTATAAACCATCGACATTGATAAAATATTTAATAACGCTTAACATTCAACAAATTCTTTTAAAGCTGTACCAAAACCATCATGGATGAGTCCTATTTGTTCTTTTATTGAATTATATGATTTTTTTTTTCGATTTTTCCAGACCATTGTCTCAAAATTCGATTTCAAATTTTCATATTAACCAAACCATGTACTAACATAAAAAATAAAAATTATCGTTAAATAAAGTGATAAAGTGACGTAAGTCTTTTTGTAATCTGAAAAAAATATAATAAAAAACCTTATACGGTACAATTTAAATTGTAATTTGTAATCAACGAATAAAATAAAACAGAACTAAAGAAATTTCAAAAAAAAAAATAGTATAGATCTTCATGATTAGTATGAATTTGGACGTCTCTAACGTCTCTTAAATCATGTAGTACAGATCATAATCTTATAATTTTTCCTATGAAAATTGAGAAATGTCCAGGTAGATCCGTGGATATCGGAAAATGGGATCGAATTTCGACACTTCCTGTAACTCACCCGGACACTTTTCTATATATTTCCGAAAAAGCCATATTTCGTCTTGACTATTTTTGGGTTACATAATAGTTATAATGATGGTATCGGTTGATAGTTGGAGCTTTTATCTAAATGGAGACATTCAACTATTTTTTTTTCGATTGTAATTTTCGAATATAAAAGGCAAAAGAAAAAAGGCTTTAGAATAAACCCATATCTAGAAATCGATAACAGTTAAACGTAAAAATATGCATGAAAGATAATTACTGTTTAACTAAATTTCTTTATGATCGGCTTATCATCTGATTTGCTTAAATAAACATAATGATGTAATTACTATTATTCTTCTTATTTTCAATTACATTTCGAATGGGGTTAAATGTCATCATGGCTTGTTAAATAATCGAAAAAAAAAGAAAAAAATTTCCATAATTTACGCTTTTAAGAAAAAAGTAAAGAACACTATTGTTCGAACTTCGAAATTTCTAATTTTCTGTTGTACAAAACAAAAAAATTATTTCGTCATTCTATCACTAAAATGGATATCATTCAAACGAGAAATTCTAGAATAGACTATTAATCCACATTTTGATCTGATATAACGGAAATTTCAAATATCAAACTGCTCCCATTAGTCCCATAATTATGCACAATGATCATGTTTGTTACACAAGAAAAGCAATATGGCGATTATTTGAAATCAAATTTAGTCATATTTTTATTTTTGTTTTTGTAATTTTATAAAGTGATTATGATCAAATAATTAAACTTATCTCTAAGAATAAATACCCGATAGACGATTTATTTGTATAAATAAATCGGTTTTAAAAAAGCCAATTACAAAATTTTTATATTGCTGCGGCAAGTCGCGTAGATCCTCGATAACCCCATTCATACGGACCATTATTTCGAGATCAAGAGATTATTTGTATTCATAAACGATCAAAGCGTGCATGTATCTTCAATCACAGGACTCGTTATTCTTTATTTTAATCTTTTCTGTCCCAAAATTGGTTGTTGCTTATAAATACTTTTAACAATTCCTCAATAATATTTACGCCTAATCGCCTCTTTATAAACTCAATTTTGATGATAATTCAAGGTGTCTTTATGCCATTTACTTTCTTTCTTTTTCACATATTTCAAAAAGGCATTAGAGCAATATTTTTGATTGTTAAATGTAATATAAACTAAGGTAAGAAATAAAATTGTTATATTATCAAAACATTATAAAAAGGAGGAAGTATTCTATCGAAAAAAAAATCTCACGTTTGGTACAAAGTTTTTAATGATGTCTCGACCTTCTATTCATAATATTAACGGAAGAAGTGTTTTATCGGTTGAACAATATTACTTGTTTCATTATGAATTGCCACCCGTAAATTCATTCGACTACAATAATTGTAATGGTTTCATCGTTTATCGTTCGATATTACATAAAGAACTCCGTGGGATTGGTACCGGGGAATTATCCGGAATAGCGAGCGAAACTTGGCATATTGCCAAAGAAGATTTCCGTACATTTTTTAACGATTATGCACAAAAAATAAATCAAGCTGTTAAGAAAAAATGTTCAATAACATTTAAACATTATGAAGTAAAACCTAATAAACGTAAAAATAAGACATTCATCCAACAAAGTAAGTATCCATATGTTAAACAAGAAGAAGTAACAAAAAAAGTATGTGAAAAAGAGGTTAAAGATTTTAAATTTGTATCATTTTAAATTTCAAAATTTTTATTGTAAAAAGAAAAAAATATATATTTCAATATTTTAAGATTATTTATGTATTTACAATTTTTAAAATAATTATTTAAGATATATTTAAAAAGATTATGTAGTTTTTTTTTTTTAGTAATAGCTATTTACTCTCCCGTTTACTTTATCTTTTTTTTTACTTAAGAAAAGTAAGATTTATAAATAAGATTTGATAAGTATTGACGTTTTATTATTGTTTGTTTTATAAATCGTCGGTAAAACAAATACAGTATATAATAATAATATATTAAGATTTTAATATTTACGCAATTCAAAGATAAACGAAATAAATTTATGAAGTTTCTAAATAAGAATTTATAACAGAAGATGTTATTATCGTATACATATATTTAGTTTTATTTAACAAAGTTTTAAAATTTGAAACTTGCTAGTAACTTTAATCGATTGCTCGATCACATTTAACGCGGATTGCCAGAATTACTCGAACCAATCAAAATGATTTGAAACGTAAATTTATTTTAATTGGCCAAATCATAATTTTTAATTTCTAACTTATCGGCAAAAAAACTTTTTTTTGTCACGCGTAATATGCTTTATTAATAAAAATATAATACATTTAACAGAAATTTATAATCCTGTGTGTTCTGCCAAGACCACAAAAACTATTTTATTTTTAAAATTATATTTGAATATTTATTTATTTATTTTTAGGTGATAAGAAAGTTCTTTTTCTTTCTTTTTTTGCAAGACAGACTTCTGAATTTCTGTAGACTAGTAATTTCAAAAGGAAAGGGTTTCTTTTTATATATTGTTTAAGAACGTTACTAATGCTTTTTATTCTCTCTCTTTTTATAGAGAAGAACTTCTAGATTTTGTATAATATAGTAATTTCAAAGGTAGAAGTTTTTTTGTGTACATTGTATAAGAACGTTTACTAACGTTCTCTTTCCTCTTTTTTTCTGTAGGGAGTACTTCTATAGAATGGTAATTCAAAAGGGAGAAGGTTCTTTCTGTGTGTATTGCATTAAAATGTTTCTACCGTTCTTTTTCCTCATTTTTTTTATGGAGAACGGTAATTTCAAAAGGAAGAGGATTCCTTTTGTCTATAAGAACGTCGCTAACGTTCTTTTGATTTATGGAATAGTAATTGAATCGTAATTTTATTTTTGATTTTAAGTACATTACAATGTTCTAGATTTTCTTTATGAGTTTCACAATTGCATATGGTGTATATGCTTGAGGCAGCAAGGAAACGATCTTGTTTAGCATTAGCAGTAGGAAGTTGCTGTCGAAGGAAAACTGGGTCGTCAGGATGAATAAAGGTTGAGGGGATTGGGAGTTACCATCGTCCAACATCAGTATCGAGGTATGAGGAGTACTGGCGGTAGTGTTAGAAGGAAGTGAGCTATTTCCCATGTTATAATTCATGGTGATGGTAGTGTCATGCTTAGTGCTCCGCAAAATTCGGGTCTAACCCGGATAATTCAATCCGAGTGAATTTTAAATTGGGTCGGTACTAACAATTTTAATAACCCGTGACCCGCATGACCCGACCCGTCGGGTCGGGTCATTCATTTCCTTGACTCGAGTTTTGACCCGAATTAGACCCGGATGATCATTAAAATCACTGATCACATATCGATTACACGTTAATATTGATTACGTTATATAATTTTGTTAGATGAATGAGGTAGTATATCCTCACTTAGCGAAAATTGCTAGAGACACCTTGCAATTTCGGGTATGTGTATGAATTATTATTTTAATTATTAATATTACATTAACTAATAAGATGATTTTGATGATTAATAAAGCAACCAGCATTCCAGTAGTTTCCAGTGGAACCGATTTGATAGCTGCAAAAAGATGTAGTCTTAAAGCAGATACAATTAGAGCATGCATGTGTTTAAAGTCCTGGCAGATATAAAGTATAGTCAAATTTCTGTTAAAGCAAGTGATATAATTTCGATTTTATAGTTCAAATATAAAGCAATAAATAAACAGAAATTAAAGATATCTTTAAATTCGTGCTTAGCTTTAGTTTTAATAACAAAAAGTTGTGTGATCATCTTGTAGATCAATTACCTTGCGTTATTGAAAAAATTATATTTGAAAAAATATTTTTGATATATTACTAAGCATACAGTATATTATCCAATGAAAATTTCGGGTCTAAACCGGGTTATTAGAATTAAATATACTCAGGTCGGGTTAAAATCGGATCATTTCTATTTTTGCCGGGTCGAGTCGAATATATTCTCCAAACCTGACCGAATCCGACCCGGTAGGAGCACTAGTCATGCTAGGAATCTCTAATAGGTATAGACAAGTCAAGAACTTTTTGATTTGCTCCAAGAGAATTTTGTGGTGTTGTAGGCGTGATTCTGCTACTTCCCTCAATGAAGTCTCCCTCAGCCGAAAAGATCTAAAAATCTAAAAAAGAAAAGAAATAACGCCTAAAAAAATGAAGAAAAGGAAAATTAGTAATAAGTAGAGATCAAAAATAATGCCAAAGCTAACAAATATAGTTTTAAAGGAGTTGTAATTACAATCGCTAATATAAATAAATACATTATTTATTAAATATAAATTTAAAAATCTGCTTTTTGTAGTAAAAAAGTAATTTTTTCGTGTTTTACGCAAAAACTATCTGAATAACTTACCATTTGAAAACGTTTTCTACTCATATTCTTGTTGTAAAAACAGTATTTTTATGGGGAGCCGTTCAAAATCCAGACAATCAGTAACCACATTATTCCCAACATTCATTATCCATTATTCTGAAAATTTACTATCCTGATTCCTGATACGATATTTTTTTTTTTATGACTTTTTTTATAGACGTAATATTATTGTAATATTTTGTAATAAATATGTAATAATTTTTAAAATATCGCAAAATTATAATTTTTTTAATATTGAAAAAATAAATGTTTTTATTATTTTTTTTTTATTAATAGTATTCTGTAATGATACTTTGCAAAATCACTGTGCAAATATTAATAATATTTTAATGAATTTAATAATACATCTAAAAAAATTAAGAATCACTTAATAAATATTAATGATTTATTGTTAAAAATATAAATCATAAATTTTTGTAAAATTTTATTTATTTTGATTAATTTTTTTTTTTTTTAAAAAAAAAAGATCTTGCTTTTAAATTCAATAAAAATTTAAATTATTGCGTCATAAAGATATAAGAATTTTTTTTATTTTTTCAATATAGTGATTAAAGATTTTAATAAATCATTTTTTAGAATTTCTATACTATGTCATCATATTTCAATTGTTAGGAGGATAGTTTTGGGATAATGAATGTCATGAATAATGTGGTTACGGGATTCTGAAGTTTCGGGATTATGATTTGTCGGGATTGTGAGCGTCGAGGTTCGTGTTGTAGCAGGTTCTGATTGTCAGGGATTTCGTAGTAAATCCATTTTTAAAAGAAAGCGTTTTTTTTAAAAAAATTTCCCGTAAAATGCAGAAAAAAAAATAAATAAAATAGCCGCAAAAAAGGAAATTTAATATGGCAAGCGGTAGTGGTCAAAAGTGCGTAGCAAAACATAGCGTGTACACGCTACAAAACACAGCGTATACACGTTATCTTTTACGGCGGGTTACCCCTATTCTGTTGGATTAACCTGTCAATTTCAGGGGTAACCCGCCATAAAAAACAGCGTGTATACGCTACATAATTTAACGTGTATACACTTTATATTATAACGGTTTATTAATTTATTTTAGACCAAATTTTAAAATTTTCAAGGGATTGAATACCCGCCGCTTCACATATCAGGTACCCGCCGCTTCACAAATCGGGTACCCGCCGCTTC